GGGGGGGGGGGGGGGGTCTTTGCGTGTGAAACGTTGTACCTGCGTCCAGTATTTTGTTTTTCTCTCTTTGATGTTTCTTGGCAGTGTTAGTCGTTTTTGTACAAAAGCGGTGTGGCTTTTGGTGTTGTTTCGATTTGCCACTCGCTCACCACGACGATGCTGTTCTGCGCCGTCTTGGGGTAATCTGTCAGATGTCAGGATATTAATTGTAGCTCTTTTTCTCGCTTGTTTTTTGCGCGTTGTCTCTGATGTTTGCTGCGTAAAGTCGGCCTCGTTCTGTAGCTGGCTTTCGGTTTGAAGAGTAGCTGCTACAGAGAGGTTTATGATAATATAGTCGTGTGCAGCAATCCGTTTTAATCACTTCGTCCACAAAACGACAGCAGCAGCATCGACCAACAAGGGTTGGTTACAATATACGGTCTGTCTGCTGGGTTCAATGAACGCGCACATGCATGCATGCATGTTCAATCATATAAAGTCGCATGTATGTGAAAGACAACCAACCAACCTGCAGTGTAGCTCTCGCCACTCAATTTCGTTAACCCTCGAAGCAAGAAGTGAGTGCCGCCTAAAGACAAACAAGTGAACGAGCGCACCTCGAAGCACATAATAATACATACATACATAGACTACATAGGAGGTTGGGATGTACCTGATGGTTGTGCACTATAACTAGATGCAACCAACCCCGTCCATACGTGGATTTCCTGACGTACACACACATATTTTCGTTGTTGTTTTATCTGCAGGACGTGGGGCGTTAGCTCAGTCGCCAAGCCACCAAACGGAATTGGCCATCATTTTCATTCTTAGATTTAGTAGTGTTGTCATATATATATATGCATCCATAAAAAAAGAAGAGAACAAACTCGTCCGTACTGGTGATGGCTGGTTTTTGAAATATGTCATCATTTTCAGCGAATTACCGACATTCACTAACAATGCTGTGTTCGTGTGTAATACTCACCCGCGTGCGGTGTGTGTTTTCAGCCAATCAGCATGCAGGCCGCGCTACTTCGTTGACCAATGAAAATACGTCGTCGGTGTAACTGCGGGGTAAAACGTAACACCACATACAAAAAACACTGTCTGGGAAATCGTAGACATACAGGTACTTTCTGACGCTATGAATCCATTGCTAATCTGTCTCAACTCTTTTCTATGATAGAGATGGTTTCGTTGTGTCATATTAAGAAAAAAAAAAAAAAAAACACGAAACCACGGAACAACCACACAACAACGTTCCTAGAGAGTAGGGCGGGCGTAGGGGCACACAGGAGTTGGATGGCGGTGTGTGTCCTCTTCTTCTTATTAAGTACAACAAGGAGAGACTAGCACCACCATCAACTGGTTGATTATATCCATTCGTGCAATATGCGTGTATAGTATATGTGTCGTAGGGGGGTGGGTGTCGTTCACCGTCATTCGTTCAGCTGGCGACTTGCTACTGCTGTGTGTATGACATGTTGTCATGGATGGATGGGTATTTGCACCGTCGGACCAAGATACCACCATCTGGGCGGGTATATCTGTCAGAATTACACCTACCACCGACCGTTATTCCGACATCACGCAAGTAGCTGTATGATAAATAAGTTGATACAGAGTAACGGTCGTGAGTGACAAGCCAGTATTTATTTCTCTCTTTGATCCGGTTTTCCGTACTGTGAAATGTATGTATTTCTCATGGTCGGACAAGCCAGGTACTTTCTCTTAAATAGTCTCTCTTAAGCCGTAGCCGCCACTGTAGCAGCAGCAACCTAGCGGTGTTTATGCGTTCCCTCTTGCTCAGTGCTGCCTGGGAGTGAGTGAGAAGAGCGAGAGCGACTGCTGTGAAAGAGAAAGGAAGGAAGGATAAATACATGAGAGGAACCGGACTGAACGAAGCAGCGGCATCACACACAGCGTCGTCAGCAGTGGTCGACCAGCTCCACACTGATGCAATCTCTCGTCACAATGTGCACAACCTGTATCTATGTCCTATCTATGTAATGTTTTTCCGGGGCAATCTTTTCTGAGGATGCTTTTGCATACATATGTCGGTTGTCGTCGGGGATCGGATGCATGCGTTCCATGGTTCGCTTCGTTTGGTGTTTTGCCGATTTCGGCGATTTTCTGGTTTTCGATCTTTCGGAACTTTTCCCCAATTTTTTCCCAGAAATTATTCAAATTAAAATATTGTTTGTTGGAATATTGTGGAATTCGGAAAAAATAATAAAAAAGATCGGGATCGACGGCTGATCGACGGATCGACACGCAATATTATTTGGCTTCACACACCCGCCAGCAGCTTGTTGTACAGGTGGAGAGAGGAGCGGGTAGCAAGCGATACCACGCCAGCCCTTCGGAAATGGAGGCACCGAGTACTCCCACGCGGGGGAATGGTGTGGTACAGACGAAGTCGAAGGCGGGAGGGCCCAGAACGCCGAGCGCAAACCGTCTCGCGGTAGCCGAGAGGGGAGTCGGCGCAAGGGTAGAGCGCGGGGAAACAGCTCCTGTTGACCCTCACTTCCAGCAGAGCGCTAGGGCGTGGCGGTCAGGCGGTGACCGGAAGATCATGTTCGACAACAGAGGTATGTGCATTAGGTTGGTGGACGGGGGAAGCGGCTACCCATCTCTAGCGAACCTGTTGCGCTTGACAATGATGATGATAGTGCAGCCTTTTTTCAGAAAGATAGTCCGTCCATCGCTGGTTCGGTGGTCATTGCTTATTACTACAAGTCAAGTCAATACAAGCTGTGCGTTCATTCAGTGTTAACGCGTGAGAAACGCAGCTCCCGGTGGATGTGTGGATGTGTACTACTACTTAGATGATGATGATGGCTGGATGTAGATGTTCCGTTAGATTTGTACAGCAGTGCAGAGCAGAACGCCTGTGAAAAATGCGTGTGTACCAAGCTCGAATTCAACATGTGGGTGGTACGCGCCCGCGTGTCGGTGTGCCTCCTTGGTGCTGTTGAGGACTGGGCTACCGATGTCTGCCTTGTATGTCTAATCTAATCCTGAGCTACGGGGAGGCACCAGGCAATGGCTGGAGATCGTAATGATCCATGTTCCATTCTGGCTTCTCACAGATTCGCCGTGGACCCATTTCTCTCTCTCGCTCTATCTACTACTGTAGTACTAAGTGTACTCTCTACTCTGGTGGCAGGGTAGGACATGACTCTCTTACTAGGAGTACCGGCTTTCTCCCGTTACCCCGAGCAGCGTCACACCGCCGCAGGCCAAATGCCTCATGCACACGCGCGTCAAAGAGGCAACAGACGTGGTGTCTATGCGTGTGTATATCAGTTTTTTTTCTTTTTTTTCACACCGCCGCAGGCCAAATACCTTATGCACACGCGCGTCAAAGAGGCAACAGACGTTGTTTCTATGCGGTATGTAACCTGCGGGTTATTGGCCTCCTCGAGTAAGTCGTACCTTCCATGTAGTTTCACCGGCTTGCCAGCCCTGACTCTGTAGGTAAGTAAGTGCTCAGGAGTAAGCTTTTTTGTTCCGTTCTCGTCAGCACACACGTCCGTGTGCTCCCTGATACTGCTCCCGAATCCACCCCCTTGTCTACGGGCTGCCTCCCGTCGGGGTCGCTGGTCGTAGTTGGACAACAGATGGCCCTCCTACAATTATTTTCCGAGAAGCTGAACAATCGACCAATATCCAGATACGGATAGAGCCCTCTACCTGATATTTTTGGCTCACAGGCTGATTCTCCGTTACTCTTGTGGGCTCCGCAGGTGGCCGCTGCATACTAATTTCGACTGTGGGTAATCTCGAATGGGCAGTCTTTCTGTGTGTGTATCTATTATTCCTTAATACTAATTTGATTTTTAGCGTAGGTTCTTACCCGCCCGGCTAACAAATGGTTCTCAAGTTCGTATATTTGATCAAATGTTGAGCATGAAGCAAGTTGTTCAGTGCGGGCTATCATCTGTAGTGTTCCGTATGCATCTGCATAGCTGCATAGCTGCCTCCGTGCCTTCCCACGGAGGCTACCGCGCCTTCCCACGGTAGTATGGGTTGTATCTGGGAACGATGTTTATCCAGGACCGATGTATGCGTAGATGACATAAAACCTTGATTACTACACGCCGTGCTCCTTCCACCACACAAAAGTATAGAGCAAGAGACGATGGAGAAGTTCAGTCAGTAAACACACATGACGGTGCGTGCTCTCTCTGGAGGGGCCCCGTAGTTGGAGTCCCCCACACACACACTATCCAGATCGGATCTTGTATCCAAGTGCCCCAAACAGCCCCCCTGCTTGATACAAATACCATCTTGAAGTTCTTCATGAATACTTATCCAACCAAATACAAAAAAACACAATCACTTGAGAAACATCTACAAAATCTGGCGCACGCATTTATTTGCCACAAAGCGTCTCCATCAGGTTGTCCACGAACTGTTGGAAATGTGCCATCATCACAAGACATCATAGAAGAAGTCTGATTTTTCGCTCGCAAGAAGTTGTCCGCTCGAGCTCGCTCCAATGTAGAGTAACTACGTGCGCGATGTTTTGTACGGAGTACGAGCGAGCTTTGAAAAACTGCCCATCAACAACAAGACACACAGTCCCGAAGACCTTTAGTAAATAATTCGCATTCACTAACGTGCATCACAACATCACGGTGGAAGCAAAACGCATTCTTGTGCAACGGTTTCGTGACAATGTCCGAATGTTTGAAAAGTCGCGGGCACGTGTACGATCTTATGCCCCCCCCGCGCTACATGCTTCCGAATGAATTGATGGCGATCGTCGATGCGCTGAAGAGTCAGTCCGGCGTGAGTTGTGATGGGGTTTTCCCGCTAGGCGAATAACTGTACCCCCCCCCCGTTACCTTATCCTCGGACACCAGAGTGCACGCGACATGGCGACGCGGAAAAATAAAAATCCAAATGTACCGCAAGATAATCACCTCCTTCAGCCCGTCACCCATCATCGCAACGCACCCTGCTTCCGTCGAGGACAGCGTCAGCGTCACTCTCTGCTGCGTCCTAGATAAAAATAAAACGAAACACACGCACCGGCACCCATTACATCACAAAACCGCTCCCGAGACCGACCGCCAGTCGATAGCCCTGCTGGCGTAGTAGGATTCAACATACAAACGCATATCGATGCCCCCCCTGGAATCCCTCTGAACTCTAATACTGTGCCAAGAGTACTCGGGGGGGGGGGTAGCTCTCTCCGATCCGTCCACGTTGTGGCCGCGCGGCGGGAGTGCCATCTCTCTCTTTTACGGGCTCATCTCTCTCTCTTTTAATGCCTCTCCAGTAAGGGCCATGTGGCGGTGGGGGCAGGTACCGTGTACGGGGGCCCCCCGAATCACAGCCCCAGCACCCGGCTAGACTATTAATAGCACGCGGAATCGCTCCAAAAGCAAGCCTACAGCGCAGGGGCGAGGGCTAGTGGTGGGGTGTATGAGCACGTGGAGAGAACCGACGTGAGGGGGGGGGGCTATACTACCACCGGCGCCGAGGTATGTATGTACCAAACAAACCGACAGGAGCAACCCCCCCACTCTCATCAACAAGTACCCCACCACTCCCCTGATCCCCCCTATTGGGTCCGGTCGGCCGGAGGTGGTGCTGCTGGCCCCGCAGCTGGTGCAGGGGTGTTGATTGATATGGGTCCAGCCTTTGAGGTTACGGGTGGTATGGCTACTAGTCGTATTGCATCAAGAAAATTAACCCCACCCGTTTACGACTGGATATTTAAGACTAGGTGCCACATTTTTTAGCCCCCGTTTGGAATAGAAGGAAGGAGCAATTGGCCATCACCAATCTGTCCTGTACGAACAGCACTCCCTCCTATCGAACACGCGCGGTCGGTGGTCTCT